GGAGCTCCGGGCGGGATCCGGGGAGAGCCGGGCCCTCGTTCCCCGGGAGTACCGCAGCCGATGGAGTCCGGCTGCGGCTGCGGGCCGGGTCACACGCGTGGGAAAAACGCGGAGTTGTGTAAAAATGCACCCAGCAAAGCAGCGATGTGTGCGCTGGCACAGCTGGGGGGGCTCAGGTGGAGAGGGGAAACTCCAGAGACACCTCAGAGCCCCTGGCAGGGCCTGAAGGGGCTCCAGGAGAGCTGGAGAGGGACTGGGGACAAGGGATGGAGGGACAGGACACAGGGAATGGCTTTAAGCTGACAGTGGGTGGATTTAGATGGGATTTTGGGCAGGAATTGTTCCTGGCAGGGTGGGCAGGCCCTGGCACAGGTGTCCAGAGCAGCTGGGGCTGCCCCTGGATCCCTGGCAGTGCCCAAGGCCAGGCTGGACATTGGGGCTGGAGCAGCTGGGACAGGGGAAGGTGTCCCTGCCATGGATGGGTGGGATTTTGGGTCCTTTCCCCCAAAGCATTCCAGGATTCTGGGATTTGCAAAGTTACTGGGGACAGAGTTAGGAGCTGAGTGTAGAAGAACAAGCCCTTGGTAAACACAATACCTAAAAGGAGGCACGGAGGAGATAAAAAGGAGTGAAATACCAGAAGAAAGTGATGTTGCACTGAGGTTTATTTGAGGTAATAAAAGAGCAGGATACGAAGTGCCAGTAAAGTTTGCAGCAGGAAACCACTAATTTTCAAGCTGGAGAATCTTTCAGAGTCTTGATCTGAGTTACATCAGCAAAAATTTTATGAGTTTCTCTATATGATTCAGAAACTATCACAAAATGGAGGAATCCACGTGGGAAGGATCAGAACAATATTTAAAAAGTCATTGCAGAATCCAGGAAATCCTTTTATTCATAGGGAAAACTTGTTAATAAATACACAACTAATAGCATTGAGGTCGTGCCTGTGGGTTAAATTTGATTCTAAAAAGAAATAAAGAATGGAAAATATGGCCCAAAATGCAGAAGGTTCCCCAATACAGTTGAAAATAGTTGTACTGGAGCAACTGACACTTACTGATGAGAAAATTAAGCTTTTCCCTAGTTCTAATGAAGCTTGGATTAATGGTCAATTAAAAGGTGCTGCCACTGCATGTCCATACAAAGTCAGTGGCTTATGGGAGGTTGATCCTCTCTCTAAATAAAAAAATCAAGCTCTGTATTGGATAGGATACCCTAGAAATAGTTATTCTAAACTGGCTGGAATATTCTCTCTGTCCTGATACCCTTGTCAGAAAAGTAGCCAGCTCCTGAAACTTTATTATAAGTGGAAACCTCCCCAAAATACATATTAATCTTCTCTGCCTCCTTTCCCAAGGTGATCTCCTTATTGCCTGGAGCATGAAAATTGATTATCTTTAATATGATTTTAGTTTGCATTATAACAGGCTTGAATAGGGAATGTAAAATATCCAGACTTCCTTAAATCCTACCATCTTGGGCTTTGGCAGTGGATCCACAAGTTGTGTGTTTGCACTATAAAGGAAAGTTTCTCTGTGCTGTTTCAAACTTTTCTGCATTGGAACTTGATTAAGTGTCACATATTCCTGTTTATAAATGAGGTGAAAAAGGTGCTTCTGACCAGTGTTCACTCTGCCCTCAGAATTATGAAAATCTTATTCAAATCTCTGACCCTACTTCTGGCCAAGTTTGGATCTTTGTCACTTCAAGTACCATTTAAATCACTGAACTTTTGGATTTCCAGTCCTTTAACATGAAAGGTCTGTGATTTTTCAGATGTGTCTCATTTTCTCCCTAGAAGAATTCCAGGGCTCAGTGATGACACATCCAGTGTAGTCCACTGATACTAAAGCTTGTGAATGAATTTGCATAACACTAATCCAGTAAGAAGGTACAACATTTCTAAAATGTTTTTCAAGTCAGGTGCAATGTCTTTGTTTTTCATTCCAGGCATTTTCTCTCAGTTTTCATTTTGCTTAAGTCTGTTGCTTATAAGGCATTGCATTTCCTTTCAGTTCTTTATTTGTTATTAATTGTTCATTTAATGTGGCATTCTCAGGGACAGGATGGTATTTCCCCAGGACTGGAACATCTGTCTGCAGTTGCCTTCCAGCACCAGCACGTGAATTTGCAACTGAGTAAACCAAGGCTTAAACCAGCACATGAACTTTGCAGTCAAAGATTGTGGTGGGGTGGGATGGAAGAACTGAAAAGGAAGGGCTTTATTAAATGCCTTGAGATGTCAATTCACAACTATTTCAGCCTGGATTAAATTCCTTGTTAAGGACTAACCTCTGGAAGTGTCTCCTTTCTGCAACATCTGCTCTGGAGGAGAGGCTTGGGCACTGGAGCTGGGAGGACCCTCTCGCCAGGCAGAGACAAACAGATGGAGCCTGGGGAAGATGCAGGATTGAAAATCACTGTGATTTGGACCTCACTTGTAGATCCTTAATTTTCCTCCAGAGAAAACAGTCAGATTGGAGCAGAGGCATAAAATATCTCTGTGTGTATGTGCCTTACTGAGTCAGAGCCTGGCCTGGAGCACTTCCTCTGCTCCTCCGGCCTCTCTTCAGCTGCAGAGAGCCCCAGCAATGTCACCTGGTGTGAGTTCACTTCCACCAGTAAATAAACTTGCCTTTCACAGTTAGAATCACCAGGCCTGCAAGTTTAAATCTGGAAATATTCCTGTCCATGCAGAGCTGGGCACGTTATGTGCTTTAACTGGCCCTGAAGGAGAGTGTGTGTGTGTGTGAAAACACTCTGAGTCTGGTTTCTTCACAGGGTTTTAATTATAGAAGTAATCTCCAATATGAAACTTTTGTTTGCAGCATGGTGGAAGCTGGTCTCTGTGTTTTAATTGATGTGAAATGCTGGGAAGCACCTGGGTCACTGGGAATCACTGGGAACTGCAGCTTGGTGGGTATATGAGGGCAAGGAGTTAAATTTTGATGGCTTGGGTTGTGATGTGTACGTAAGGAAAGGTCCACGGGTTGTTCTGAAGATGTGTCATTTTCTGGGACTCACCCTCCAGTCTGGGTCACAGCACTTGGGACATTTCAAACCTCCACAAATTTTTAAATTCAAGGGAATTCAGGTGAAAATCTGTACATTTTAACTTGCTATCATCTTTGAAATATTTTGTAACCCTCACTAGTAAATTTTGTCTCTCTCCCTCTAACCCCAAAATATTCTCCAAACTTATTTGATACCACTTTTGATGTGGAAGCACAGAGTCATCTCTACTGAAAAAAAACCAAAGAGTAAAGCAGGAGTTGGGATATATTGAACAGGAATACAAGTGGTTCCTGTGCTGGGAGAGGAAGGAAATTGGGTGGTTCGAGGTGTAGAATTACTGGTAAGTTAAGAAAATGTATTTTAGTAGGCAAAGCATTTTCAGTGCTTATGAAGAAGCTTGGGATCAGGAGAAATATGATTTCCTGTAATCAAGGTGCTGGGAGTTGTTTGCCAGCCACTAATGCCTTTAGGGAAATCTCGTAGCAAAGCGTGTAAATGAAAGGGATATTAGCAGAGATTGGCTTCTTTTTCTTTAGGGCAAAACTGTAAAAACTTATGGTGTTTCATATGCCCTACTTCAGGTGCTTTAGTTATCTCCTGGCTGCTCTATTCCAGAAGTTGTTGGGAAATGTTTTGACAAATATTGGTGAAGCTCACCCCGTATTAATTTTATTTGTTGTGGTACAGAGAACTTTGTGTGGTAAAAAGGCTTATAAATGTTAAATAAGAGGAATTTTGGGTCAATAAGGCCACTGATAAATCTCCTGTTAAATTGAGTATGCCTGGAGTCCTATATTTAGTGGAGCTATTGCCAGATTCCAGCAAGGCTCAAGCATTTCCAATAATTATTACAGGAAAATTTACAGCATATATTTTTTTTCCTATTGACATATTAAGCATATTTGCAAGAGAACACATCCTTTAGGGGACTGTGTGATTGTAGCCTGGGTAGAGATGTGCCCAGCCTCGTAATCCCTGTCAGTTATTTGAGAAATTACAGGACCATTGAGAGGTTTGGGTGGGAAGGGAGCTTAAACCTCATCCAGTGCCACCCCAGCCATGGCAGGGACACCTTCCCCTGTCCCAGCTGCTCCAGCCCCAATGTGCAGCCTGGCCTTGGGCACTGCCAGGGATCCAGGGGCAGCCCCAGCTGCTCTGGGCACCTGTGCCAGGGCCTGCCCACCCTGCCAGGAACAATTCCTGCCCAAAATCCCATCCAGCCCTGCCCTCCTTCTGCTTAAAGCCATTCCCCCTTATCCTATCTCTACATCCTCTTGTGAAAATATTCCTAATAATTCATTTTATTTTGGATGAGGTTTCTTCTCTCCATTCCCACATCTGTGCCCTGGGCAGGTGAGGTGCCAGCTGTGCCACTGCACTCAGAGAACTCACAGCATCCATTCCTCTGTAGGGACAGAGCTGTGTGTTTGCTATGAGAGACTGGAAATCAAATCAGGTTAATTCCTTTTGGTCCCTCTCACCAGGCCGTGTGTGCATGTGTGGGGTTGTGTGGAGTCACATATTGCATTCCTAGAATTGAATCCACTTGGAGTTGGTCCTAATGTGCCTCTTGCACCGGAGGAAATGGATATTACGCTTGCTGGGTTGAAACGTGCGCTCAAATGCATTGGGAGTTTGATACTATTTTTCAAACTGCCAAATAGATAATGTCAGAACATTTCTGAAATGGGATCCTAACATCAAGATATACGGCACCAATCAGCTCACATCAGGCAAAGTACAGCGTAAAGCCGGGGATGGAGGAAACTACTACAGAATTTCCATTTTCATTCCCTATGTCAACAGCTTTGTAACTTACCTAGTAGATTGTTTTATGTTTTCCAGACATATTCTCAGTAGACCACAAACACTACATTCAGCTCAGCCTTCAGAACCCAAAGAATTAGATATGCTGTAGTTTATGAAATGGATGTTTATGAAAGTATCCTTTGTTTGAATTGCTCGAAAACCCAACATGAATTCAAACTTTGACAGCGTAAGCAGAAAATAAGAGGGCCATAGTGATCTCCCAAATGTAGCCTTAACTATTGAGGTTCTCATATTGAAAATGCAATTTTCTGTCTCGATGTTTATGAATGTCTTCAAATTCCCTTTCATAATAGCCCCTTTTTGACAGGCCTTTTTCAACTCTGAAATATGAGAAGAAAGGTTGCAGCAGAGTGTAGAATATACCATTACAGGAGGTGCACCTCTGTCCCTCAAGCCAACCGCGCTCCTTCGAAGGCAGGGATGATATATGCACGTGGAGGAGCTTGCAGAGCCCAAGATCCATGGCAGAGAAGCAGGATTCTTTCACTGAATCCCAGGCAATTCAGATGCTGAAATGCACTGTGACACTTTGGGGAGCCTGTCTCTGTAAAATGGATGAATTCTGTGTGGTTTTATGAACTGGGGATAACTCCAGCCTCGCAGAATCTTCTGAGAGCTGGCAAACCTCATCACACACTCGCTGGAGAACAGTCAGAGCTGTTGACATGGAATTGCTGTCCACAGATAGCAATGTGTGGGGTTTTTCAGGAGAGGGCCTACTCTGAAGGAATCCAGTTCCCTCTGGATCACCTGTGCGCAGTTTTCACGTGGTCCTGCTGCTTTTGTGAGAATCCGGTGGCAGCTGAGGGAAGAGTCCCTCAGGAGATTTGAGGATGGATGCCCTGCAGCCTGACCAGCAGGTCAAGGGAGGGGATTCTCTCCTCTGCTCTGGTGGAGCCCCACCTGGAGGGTTGTGTCCACCTTTAGGGTCCCCAGCACAAAAAAGACCTGTTGGGATAAATCCAGAGGAGGCCATGGAGCTGCTCCAGGGCTGGAGCCCCTCTGGAGCCAGGCTGGGAGAGCTGGGGGGGCTCACCTGGAGAGGAGAAGCTCCAGGGAGAGCTCAGAGCCCCTGCCAGGGCCTGAAGGGGCTCCAGGAGAGCTGGAGAGGGACTGGGGACAAGGGATGGAGGGACAGGACACAGGGAATGACCTTAAGCTGAAGAAGAGTATGTTTAAATTAGACATTATAAAGAAATCCTGTCTTCACTTCTTGTCTTAATAACATTTTTACATAAATACAATGGGAACTGTGAGAGGAGTAGAATCCTGGAGTAACCTAAAATGAAAATAAATGGAAGTGAAAATGTTTATCTTTTTTTTTTTTCTTTTTTCCCTCCGTTTAGTATTTCTGTGGCATGAATTGTCCCATAATAGGGGTGGGACATACCCAGGGCTGTTCCTGTCCCTCATGTCGATCTTGGCTTGGATCTGAGTTCACCTCCCCATTCAAACAGCAGCCTGAGTATATAATAGACAAATAGATAAATCAATAAAATGTTTTATAAATGTGAAGATGGGTGAAATTCCCTTTGGCCTGCTCCCAGAGGATGCTGATGTCCAGGCTGGGGGCAGAGGAGCACTCTGTTAACTGGAGCCATGTGCTGGGACGTCCCCTGGCTGGGCTGTGCTGGTTCTGATGTGCTCCCACAGCCCCTGGGAGCTGATATCCCTCCAAAATGCTCCTGAGGCCATAGTCCAGCAAATCCAGGTGGCAGGTGCACAGCTGGGCTGGGATGCTCCCCTGTGTCCATCGATGGAGGCAAATCTATTCCATGCTCAACTTTCAAAGGCAGTTTAATAATAAACATTCAAATGCCAACTGACCTGAAATGGGAGAAAAAAAACAACGGTTTGTGACATTAAGCACCTTCACATGAAATAATTGAAGTGAACCTGGAGCAGATTTTAAGCATAAGGTGGTGAAGGTGGAGATGAACACCTTGGAAAGGTCAGGCAGCTGCTGAAACCTCCGTGTGCTCCTGGTTCTGACAAAATCGAGGTAGAGGCAAAGGCAGCTCCAGTGCCAGCCTGAGGAAGAAGAGGGGAGCTGTGCCAGTCAAAAAAGAGGAAATATTTCTATTTCGGGAAGTGTTGAAAGGAACCAGCAGTCAGCAGGAGCAGGTGAATGAGTGCTTTGCTGCTGAATTTGCACATCTTGTTTAAAACTTCCCAAATTTCTCCAGTCTCAGGATGATTCCTGCAGATTTCTGTCATCTCCTGCCTGCTTTAGCTTTTTCTGGCCTTTATGGAAGCACAAGAGGGAAGCCAGTAGAGCTGAACCCAGTTTAATGCTTGAATAGTTTTATCCTGCTCTGGAACATGGAGCTGAGATCATTTTCACTCGTTTGTTGTTTCAGCACTGGGCAAATACAAATGTTTCTCTGGCATCCAAGGATATTTTTAATACTTCTTTTTAGATGTTGTTTTATTTTGCTCAAAACTCCAAATGCATTCTTCCCAGAATTTCTAAGCTTGTTCTTTTAATTTTTTTTTAAGGGTATCCTGTCAGTTTTTAAATACAGGCTTTTCATGTTGCCAGTGAATTGCTTTGATCTGCAGATGAGAACTGATGAGGTGCAGTTTCCTCAGTGCTGAACTTTGCCAAGAGTTCTGAGTGTGCCTGCGATGGATCCGAAAATTGGGAAAAGAAAATTCCTGACTGGACTTTCCAAAGCAAAATCTTTTCCCATTGTCTGAAAACAAAAATGCCCAGAACAATTCTTCTGTGTTTGTTTGGGATGAAAGTGAATGAAGGAAAAAGGAACACAGTTTGTTGAATGTTTTCTTTGTTTTATTTATGGAGTAATAGC